TTAACACCACTCCCTACTTTCATTGATTATCTTGCCTGCTTGTAGAGCCAGAGCCTGATTTCCTGCCATGGTTGTGGCCTGCTCTATGTTGAGGCAGATAAGGTCAGAAGCTATGACAGCTCTCCATCATGAGGCCACAAGGTCTTCTCCATCCAGCTTTTGTGGGATTAAATGCCTACAGCTGGCAGGCCGGTATGGACAGCGATGAATCATTTGGGGAGACAATGGAGCCTGGCTGGTTTGGCACCGGATATATTTATTTGTATTGTGCTAAAACCTTCAATACACTGCAGCAATTTCCCATCTAAAGCATCCAGCTGGGGTATGTATTTGTCTGTGGAGACCCAGGTTTCAGAGCTATCCAAGACAGAAGCCCCTACTGCTTGATAGATTTGCATCTTAAGGGTTGGTATGCGGTCAGAGGCTTCCAAAGAGCATGCGTAACACCTGTAACCTTACTGATATTGACTCAGCTAGGCAAGCTCTCCTCTTGGGATGCAGAGGCAAGATATTCAAATGGAACTTGTCCATTGATTATGATGGGGGTGGAGTACAGCTCCATACCCACTTTCATCAGTTTGGCCTTCCAAGTCAGCTGAGAAAAAACCACAAACATTCTAGTGCTTAAGCTGACATAGAAATGCATCTCTGGAGGTGAGAAAAGATCGAGGAGCTTGCCCGTTAGCTCTGAACAGCATCAATTCCTTATGGCAGGTTTAACACACTCATGAACTACCAGCACAAACAGTTTGCTTGGGAAAGCAAAAAGCACTGCCCCAGAGTTTGGAGCACACCAGAGAATCATCCTTCCCTTTCCAAAATGGGAGACTGGTGCCAGTCAAGGGTAGTTTCTCAACATTTCACACCTGGTTAATATGGATCAGCTATTTCCAAGAGGAAATCCTTGCTGTGCTTGATCAGCTCAGCAGCTATAGCACACATGCGAGCAGCATGACTATTGCTAAGCTTATAAGCTGAGCTTCAAACTTCAGGAGTGACAGACTGTACATCACACAGACGGGTGGCTACTAGATTTTTCACATCCTGGAGCTGCAGTTCAGAAGCTGCATTCTTTCTATTTACTCTCACATTCTGCCTCCATGTTCAATCTGTTACCAAAGCCATCTTGGATGAGCAAGGATTTCTTCTGTGGGCCAGCTTTTAAGGTGTCCAGGTCTGTGGACTATCGTCATTGCTGGTAGATGCAGTTTACCCAAAACATGTTAGTCCTGCTTTAAACCTGTGCTCCCTAAGGCACTGAGGTGTTGATATTCTTCACCAAGAATTCCTTACCCCTCCAATTAATCTGATTTCTACATTTTATCCTCAAAGCTGACCATGCCACAATCCAGGAATTGGGAACATCCAAAATTCAGGTTTACCCAACGGATCAACATCTCTAGCCACCCAAATGCACACTTAGCATGCACAGTCGAGGCTTTCACTGCCAAAGCGCAACTGCCATATTTTAGTGTTTTGTTTTAAAAATACCCAAAACAAATCAATCGTGCTGTAAATTCATTTTAAGCAGGTAATACTGATCCACTTGGAAATACCCGCCCACTTGTTAAAAAATTCTTAAAGGCTCTTCTAGCGTTCAGCATGAAGTAGAAACTTGGCTATAGAAATCTAGGTCCTATCCCTACAGTGTCGCTAATAGAAATCTCACGGTGGCACCGCTGTAAGGTTGTGTCTACATTACAGTGACATGGCTATGGTGGTGCAGCTATGTTACTAGAGAGCCACAGTTTAGAATGAGAAGCTTCCTACATTGACAAGAAGGGGTTTCTCTCCAGCTGTAGATAATCTACACTAGGGATGTAAGCGATTTGTGGACTAGTCCCTCGACTAGTTGACTAGTCCCTCGACTAGTTGCTTCCTTCCACTTGCTGCCGCTATCAGAGAGAGGCAGCAAAGGGGAGGGAGGAGCAGGAGCCAGTGCTGGAGGGAACCGGCTTAAAAGCCAGTTCCCCTCAGTACCGTCTCCACAGAGGGCAGGGGAGGCAGTGGGGAATCAGCCGATTCCCATCTCGTGCCTAGTCCCAGACACGCCTCTGCTTTTTAAATGTATTAAGAGCCTGCTGGCTCTTCATACATTTAAAAAGCTAAAGCGCAGCAGGAGGGACACAGAGTGAGCTGGGACAGCTGATTCCCGGCTGGCACAGGGTCCCCCTGCTGCGCACCAGCCCTTTAAATACATTAAAAGCCAACAAGCTCTTAATACATTTAAAAGGCAGAGCCACGGCAGGGTTAGCTTCCAAACTGGGAGCTAAGCCTGCTGCGGCTCCTTGCTTAGCAACGGAAAAAATCCTTCCATTAGTCGATTAGTAGATGAAACTAAATTTAACATCCCTAATCTACATGGCTGAGAGGTCCTAGCTTTATCAATGGAAGAATCCTTCTATGGGCCTACCCGCATCTACAGTGGGGATTAGGTCTAACTATCACAATTTTTCACAGCCCTGAACACCCTTGTCAATTGTCGTGCCCTGAGCAGCACAGCTAGGTCAAACAGCTTTAGGTGCACACCAACCTCAATAGTTTCAACTGTGATTCTACAAGACTATTTAAACACAAGAAGGAGCAATCGAATTACTAAAGCAGCTCAACTTCTATGTACAACTGAGAGGTCACAGCCGAACCAAGGGAATTAAGTCAAAACTAGCAGAAGGCCCAGTCCAGCTACACCCAGGCTTCGAGAGCACGAGAGAGTAAGTGGTCCTTTATAAGCACTTCTTTCCACCCCATCTCTCCTCCCGCCTGTGAAGGGTAACTGTCAGTCAAACTTACGTATTCATTTCTTACCTCATCAATGAGATTTTTTTTAAATCTAAGTTTAATCATCTAAGGTGTTATTTTCCCACAATGTATGCTGTTTAACTTTACTACTACATTCATCTGACACAATGTATCATACTTTACATCCGTGGTCACCAACCAGTAGATCGCGATCTACTGGTAGATCTCAGAGGCTCTAAAAGTAGCTCTTGAGCCCTCTTTGAACTGTGCCCCTGCGCAGTACATTTACATTAGATTTCTTCATATAAGGAGCAGCTATTCACCGAGCAACAGCACAGGTGAGTAGCTGCGAGGAATGGTGGGAATTTTTTTTTAAAGTAGCAGTATAAGGATTGGGGATAGCAAGTGACGGAGAGGAGGAAAAGAGAGAGGGCGGGGCTCCAAGGAAGGGGCGGGGCGGTAGATCTTGGCTTGGTCTGACATTTAAAAAGTGATCTTGGGTGTAAAAAGGTTGGAGACCACTGCTCTACATTCACAGGATGCAATATGTTTGGACTGCAAATGCTCTGGAGAATGTTAAGTTTCAGTGGAAACTATTTTTAAAATTTGTGAAAAGCTGGAAGTGTTTTTATTAACAAGCATAAAAAGAATTTGGGACCTAAATTGACCCTCCTTGCCTTATTATACCTTTTAGAGACCCGTGGCCATAAGTGGACAGTCAATTCCTTGTGGGTGGGTTCCCAATGACAAAGAAACCCCACAAAGCCACAACTAGCACAGTCAGCGTTGAATGAGCGCTCACAGCAGTCATGGCCCATTGTTTCATGCAAGTGCTGTGTATAAGAACTAAAAATGACTCATGCAAGAAGCACAGCTGGCTTTGAAGTTTCAATTCAGAAAGTTGTTACAGGTTAGGCCTCAGTTGGAGTATCGTGTCCAGTTCTGGGCACCGCATTTCAAGAAAGATGTGGAGAAATTGGAGAGGGTCCAGAGAAGAGCAACAAGAATGATGAAAGGTCTAGAGAACATGACCTATGAGGGAAGACTGATAGAATTGTGTTTGTTTAGTTTAGAAAAGAGAAGACTGAGGGGGGACGGGATAGCTGTTTTCAAGTATCTAAAAGGGAGTCACAAGGAGGAGGGAGAAAACATCTTGGCCTCTGAGGATAGAACAAGAAGCAATGGGCTTAAACTGCAGCAAGGGAGGTTTAGGTTGGACATTAGGAAAAAGTTCCTAGCTGTCAGGATGGTCAAACACTGGAATAAATTGCCCAGGGAGGTTGTAGCATCCCCATCTCTGGAGATGTTTAAGAGCAGGTTAGATAAATGTCTGTCAGGGACGGTCTAGACAGTGTTTGGTCCTGCCATGGGGGCAGGGGACTGGACTCGATGACCTCTCGAGGTCCCTTCCAGTCCTAGTATTCTATGATACAGGGATGAAAACTCCTGACTTTTAGGCGACCAGATAATCCAGGTGCAATTCTCAGTTTTGGAGCAGAGGGTGAAGCACTCCTTGCACCAATGTAAACATGACAACCAATAACGAATTGGTGACTTGTCAGTTTTAAGGTGATTTGGAGGACTGAGGCCACTAATGTTGCCTTTCTGATGACAAATACTGTTACGCCAATGCCTCCTTCCCACGTGGACAAGGGGGTCAGCTCGCTGCCTGGGGAACAGGGATCCTTGTGGTGTGATACAGCGTGATCTCTGGTTCTCGCCGCAGCTGTTCATGCTCCAAGTGGCAGGGAAGTCCTCCTCTTCCTCATCCTTTCTAGCAACGTTATCGGGGCAGGCAAGGAGCGGAGAGCTGTGTGCTCTCATTTCCCTGGTGGTGCCAGGCTCTTTGCACAAAGTGGCTTTTAGCTCTCTAATGGAGAGCTGGCAACCTGAAACGAAGCCCTGACAACAATATAGAGAGGAAAGGAAACAACCGGTCATTTAAAATCCCCTCCATCCAGTACATTAATTCAATTTGTGGACTCATGCCCAGGAAGCATCAAATTTAATAAGCAGCCAATTTCTATTTCATGTGACCAAAAATAACTGAAGTGACCTACTCTTTTTTACAATCCAGTGCGAATAAAATCAGAGCCTGCCTGATTCCAGGCTGTGCAAAACACTGTTCCAAGTCTAGTCATTGCACGCCAGCATGGGCATGTCAATACAATTTTAAATATTAGTCCTAGAAAACAGAGGGCTCCCTTTTCTCTAGAAGCGCAAAGGGATGCCATTATACAATGTGTAACGTGAGATAGTCATTGTTTTCTGTGGCACAGTACAGAGTTATACCTTGTGCACTGCTCAGCAACATTTTACATTTGTGTTCCTGAACCAGCCCCTGCTGCTAGTTAACTTGTGCAGACAGTTAACGCCCCTCCCCAAAGAGCCGTTACTTCTTGGAAAGAAGAGTCAGTCTTCCTCGCTTCCCATGCCACTGAAATGATGATACTGAAAGCCGTCGTCGTGTACGTTAATGTAATGCTGAAGGACTGATCACCCCCATTACGCAGTACACTTTTGCTCAAATACCTATCATTTACAAATGGAGCTAGATTTGCAATATGAAACATCACATACACTTGATTATTCTGTGAGACCTTTCCCTTGGTCCTTCTGATTGCTATATGAAGTGGATAAATCTTCTACCGCTCCTTCCTGAACACTACTGCGCACAGATTCCAGCCACAAACATCATCCATTTCTGTATGTAAATGTACTCGATTGAATGCTGTGGAAACTCATTACATCTGGTGAACTCGTGTTACGTGCACATACCTCCTTGGATTGATTTGCCTTTCCTATGGCGTCCTGAGTCAAGCGCTCTTGAACCAAAATGCGAATTGCCTAGGAAACAAAGTTTGAAGACCAAAGTAACAATTCTGTGTTGATGCATTGGCTGTCCACTGCTGCACCCCCCAAAAATCAAACAGCTTGAAGCAGTGTTAGCCGCTACCAGAGGCTCTCTAGGAGCCCTGCTCACACAGGGTAGGATACAGATTCACTGTGTTAGCTCATCCCCAGGATAAAACTAGCATGGCTCCTGCCAAGAGAGTTGTGCCTTCTTTTGAAGCTATACTGCCAGCTGCACAGACCCCAACATTTTGTACTACTGGAACCTTTCCAATGAGGGCACTTTCTGCAGCTGGGAACCCTTTGCCACAGTCTGAGCCCTCATCTACCAGCACAGAAGGTGAAGGAAATCAGGCTATTGAATTGTCTATAAAATATAAAATCAAAAGGACATGTGCTATTTAAAAATGGGGGGGGAGGAGGTCCAACATTGATCTTGGATATCTTACAATCCTTCTGCCCATCTGGTTAATTTATCCGCAACTTGGCAACTTTAATCCATTACTATTCATACTGATATGTGTCTCTATAAAGGCCTCTAAAAATAACTCAAGGGATAGGCGAGAGCTAGAATTAGACCATAACAAAGCAAAAAGCCTGCTCATTACAGCTGTTCCTCTCACCATTTCCTTGCTATTGGGTTATCCAAGTCTGACAAAAGCACTCAAACTATTTCATGCATCACTTCACTTTCTCTTTCTCCTGTTGCATGGCACGTGATTCAAGTTGGTGTGTGACACTGCAACATTGCCCTAAAGCAACACAGAACGTTCTTGCAAAGCAGGGGATTGAATCTGAATTTGTTTAGTGTCTCATCATGAAATCATTAGATCTGTGATGACTAAGACACCAATAATGAAACTTAGCATAATAAACATTTTTAGCATTGCTGGTATCTATGATGTTCTCCCTGGCAAATTTCTCAAAATGTTAGTGTGATAAGGAGAACAAGGAATTTTTGCTTTACTAGCTACTAAAGTTTAGTAAGTTTTAACTGGAACATTGGTACTCGTCTGCTTTTCTAAAACAGCCACTGTACAATATCCAAGTATTAGTTTAGATCATCCCATTGTTCAGATACAGAAATTATGTATAATAAAACAGCAATTCCACTAACACACACGTGTCACATCAAGCTAGTGAACAAAGTTAGGGTGGTTTATGCCAATGTGGAATTTTAGTCTTAACCCAGTTAAAAGCAAAAGAGCTCTTTCTTCCAGGATGTTCTTTGTCTTACTCTCCTCCTGACTCTTTGTATTTTGTCATCCTCTCCACATTTCTGGTCCTTATTAGTTCCTTTTTTTCCACATTTTGAAGTTTCAATAAATTTACATCATAAAACAGAATAGAAATATAGCGACTATTGCTGTCTAGCACTGGATATAGTGAAGATGTAAAAACTACACACTTAGCATAGCTAGTACAGGTTTCCATGTACTTCATAAAAAGGTATCACAAACTTCACAATCCACACAATCTCCAAAACAAGCTTACACCAGGTTGTATATCCTGCAGGGCAAGGACCTGATCCTTTTGTTTGAAATGCAGTGCATATTTTTGGTTGCTGAACAAAACAAAGCTTATTTCTGCATTCTGTTCTGATCAAGACTGAAGGGTTAGCTGGCTCCAATCTAGTACAATGATGTAGGAATACAGTTAGTCTATAAGGTGCCACAAGACTCCTCGTCGCTTCTGCAGATTCAGACTAACACAGCTACCCCTCTGATAGCTTTGACTTGAGATTCACAGACGACTACTGAAAATACAGATCTATGCTTTCCAATTAAGTACTTGGGACAGGAGCAGAAATTTAAAAAAATTATCAGTTAATTTGTTGCATCTGGTTACTGGAAAGTATGATTAATTTTCAGGATAAAATAAAATCTGCTTTAGTTATTGGAAGTTGTGTCATGTGGAAAAAGCACAAGACTGAAAGTCAGGAGATATAGGTTTTAATTCTTGCTTTGCCACAGGCTTTTTAACAGACTCCGGACACACAGCTTAGCCTCTCTGTCCCTAAGTTTCTCCAACCTCTAGAAATGGAATAATACCTATTTACCTCACAAGTGTGCTGTGAGGCTTACTCATTAAAATTTTAAAGCACTTGCAGATGCTGGGAAAAAAAGGCAAGAAATAAATGTAATGCAACTGCTTTAAATGGCACTGAAGCATTCCAAGTACCAAACAGAAATTCACAGTTACAAGACTTGAGGAATTCTGTTACCATTTGTTGAAAAATTCTGAAATACAAATGGCCATGTTGGAAGACTATCATTTTTCACTCAAACCAACCAGAAGTTGAATACAAAATGTATTAACAAACAAACTTATTTGCACCCAAGAAGCAAAAGTTACTGACTTCACCCACCCCGTGCTATGGCTTGTTTTTCTGGTAGATATTAGTTGCTCAGACCAGAGTCCCAAAACATGAAAAACTAAAGATGTAAACCTCACCTTAAGCATTATCAAATAGTCATCATGTCGCTGGATTTGAAGAAGGTTAGCCAAAGCCATCACTCCAGCCTTGAAGTCAGGATTATTCACTGCCAAACAAATACAGTTATTATATTTGGTTCCAAGCATTGGTTAGATTTCTTACTCTGCATATATCAATCAGACTGTTCACAAATTTGAGTAAGGGGTTCACATGAATAGTTCCATGTGACTACATATGTGAGTAAGGGATTCACAATCTGACAATAAGTTTGTTTAACCTACATTTTATTTTATTAAAGCAAGCAAACACCGAGAACGGCTGAGCAATTACACTGCAGCTGTATTCTGAAAAGAGACTATATAAATAGGCAAAGCATAATTAACATTATTTTTAACCCAGTATGCATGTTAACTACATGGAAATGTCTTAATAAGCAGAAGGTCAATCTCAGTCTTATGTAACTACATACATCTACTCAACACATGTTGGTCCGTGGCCTGTTTGTTTTTGGGTTTACGCAGGGCTCAACACATGGCCCACAGGTGGGATGCTTTGAACATGGCCTCCACTGGGAAAACACAACGGCGAGGCATCTCCCAGGCAGGTGAGCTCTGAGAGACGCAAGCAGACGGGCTGGCTGGAACAGACGGGTACAGGGTGTCGGTGTTTCTAGCCTCCAGGGAGGATGTGCCAGGTGAGCTGGAGCACTGTGGGAAGTGCTTTGTATTCTTTGTTCAGAAAGAAGCTACAGTAGACTTCTGATAATCCGGCACCTTTGGGACCTAGGTGGTGCCGGATTATCGGATATGCCGGACTATTGGGAGGAGGGCTGTGACAGGTCTGCCAGGACCTGCACTGCGTCCAGGGGGTGGGCGGGGAACGGCGCGGTGAGGGGTGAACCCGCCACCATTTTGCAGGAAGACGGGGGAAGTCCTGTGCAGCCGCCGAGAGTTTCCGGGAGGGGAGCGGGCTCCCCACCCGCCAGACTGCAGTAGTTATCACTGAGCAGGGGGGATGAGGGGCAGCGCTGCGGGACCAATCCGGCAGCACCCCAGCTTGTCAGTTTCAGCAGCGGCAGACTTGGAGAAGCAGTGGAGCAGAGCAGCCGGGTGCTGCCAGGTTGGTCCTACAGTGCTGCCCCTCTCGGGAAACTCTCGGTGGTGGCGTGGGGCTGAGCGCAGCTGGAACGGGGCAAGTTCGGGGACTTGCCATCCTGCAAAACAGAGGAGGCTTCGCCCCTCGCTGCACTATTCCCCGCCCATCCCCCAGCAGGACACAGTGCAGGTCCCAGCAGACCCGTCACAGGGGTATAATCCCCTTCCCCTCTTCTCGCCTTTCCTTTCCCAGCAGCGAGCACCCATGGGGCTCACAGCAGCTCCAAATGTCCAGCTGGCCGTAGCACTTCTGGGTTCCAGTTGGTGCCAGACTATCGGGAGTGCCGGACCACTGGATGCTGGACAACTGGAGTTTTACTGTATTTGCAAATATATTTGCCTATATATGCAACCACATTTATGTTGTGGCCTTCAGCATGTGCGGTGAGTGTCATTGTGGCCCCGGTGCTTCCAAAGTTGAGTGGCCCTGCATTAACATATGATCTCTTTTGAAGATCTCTGCACCACTTCTTGGCTGCAGAGCAGGATTGTACTTGCTGACTGAAGTCTGAGCCAGACCGACTTTTCTGAGAGCTAATAGATAGAGTATTTGTTTGGTGATTACTTTATTTGCTTTAATGAACACTGGCTTGAGCGGATACATTTTGTTGAAATTGTTTATTGAAACCTACAGCTAACCAGTCATAGGCATGTTTTATAACTAAAAAAAATAAACTAACATGATCATGAGAAAGAAGCGTATGGCCCTCAGAGCTGGGAGGGAGAGGTTATACTGGGGTAAGTATGCAGCAGGCATGGGGGCAGTAGCCTCTCTCACT